CTATAGTAACCAAAACAGCATGGTACTGGTACCAAAACAGATATATAGGCCAATGGAACAGAATAGAGGCCTCAGAAACAACACACACATCTACAACCATCTGATCTTTGACAAACCTGACATAAACAAGCAATGGGGAAAAGTTTCCCTATTTAATCAACGGTGTTGGAAAAACTGGCGAGCCATATGCAGAAAACTGAAACTGGACCCCTTCTTTACACCTTACACAAACATCAGCTCAAGATGGATTAAAAACTTAAGTGTAAGATCTAAAGCCATAAAAATCCTAGAAGAAAACATGGGCACTACTATTCAGGACATAGGCATGGGCAAAGACTTCATGTCTAAAACACCAAAAGTGATGGCAACAAAAGCCAAAATTGACAAATGGAATCTAATTAAAAAACTAAAGAGCTTCTGCACAGCAAAAGGAACTATCATCAGAGTGAACAGGCAACCTACAGAACAGGCAACCTACAGAACAGGCAATCTACAAAATTTTTGCAATCTATCCATCCAACAAAGGGCTAATATCCAGAATCAACAAAGAACTTAAACAAATTTACAAGAAAAAAAACCCCATCAAAAAGTGGGAAAATTATATGTGTAGACACTTCTCAAAAAAAAGACATTTATGCAGCCAACAAACATATTTAAAAATGCTCATTATCACTGGTCATTAGAGAAATGCAAATCAAAACTACAGTGAGATACCATCTCATGCCAATTAGAATGGCAATCATTAAAAATCAGGAAACAAGCTGGGCACGGTGGCTCACGCCTGTAATCCCAGCACTTTGGGAGGCCAAGGCAGGTGGATCACAAGCTCAGGAGTTCAAGACCAGCCTGGCCAATATGGTGAAACTCCGTGTCTACTAAAAACACAAAAATTAGCTGGGCATGGTGGCGGGCGCCTGTAGTCCCAGCTACTTGAGAGCCTGAGGCAGGATAATTGCCTGAACCCCGGAGGCAGAGGTTGCAGTGAGCCAAGATCATGCCACTGCACTCCACCCTGGGCGACAGAGCGAGACTGTGTCTCAAAAAAAAAAAAAAAAAGTCAGGAAACAACAGCTGGGTGCGATGGCTCACGCCTGTAATCCCAGCATTTTGGGAGGCCAAGGCAGGCCGATCATGAGGTCAGGAGATCGAGGCCATCCTAGCTAAAACAGTGAAATCCTGTCTCTACTAAAAATACAAAAAAAAATTAGTCGGGCGTAGTGGCAGCTGCCTGTAGTCCCAGCTACTCGGGAGGCTGAGGCAGGAGAATGGCGTGAACCTGGGAGACAGAGCTTGCAGTGAGCCGACATCACGCCACAGCACTCCGGCCTGGGTGACAGCGAGACTCCGTCTCAAAAAGAAAAAAAAAAAAAGAAAAAAGTCAGGAAACAACAGATGCTGGAGAGGATGTGGAGAAATAGGAACGCTTTTACACTATTGGTGGGAGTGTAAATTAGTTCAAACATTGTGGAAAACAGTGTGGCCATTCCTCAAAGATCTAGAACCAGAAATACCATTTGACCCAGTCATCCTATTACTGGGTATATACCCAAAGGGTTATAAATTATTCTACTATAAAGACACATGCATACGTATGTTTATTGTGGCACTATTCACAATAGCAAAGACTTGGAACCAACCCAAATGTCCATCAATGATAGAATGGATAAAGAAAATGTGGCACATATACACCGTGGAATACTATGTAGCCATAAAAAAGATGAGTTCATGTCCTTTGCAGGGACACAGATGAAGCTGGAAACCATCATTCTCAGCAAACTATCACAAGAACAGAAAACCAAACACTGCATGTTCTCATTCATAAGTGGGAGTTGAACAAGGAGAACACATGGACACAGGGAGAGGAACATCACACACTGTGGCCTGTCAGGGGGTGGGGGTACTAGGGGAGGGATAGCATTAGGAGAAATATTTAATGTAGGTGACAGGTTGATGGGTGCAGCAAACCACCATGGCACATGTATACCTATGTAACAAACCTGCACATTCTGCACATGTATACCAGAACTTAAAGTGTAATAATAAAAAAAATGCTTACAATGAAAACTAAGTGAATAAGTAGGATACAAAATTGTATATGCACCATTTAATTAATTATGTTAAAAGTACATAGAAGACTATATAAAAATATACTAAACTGTTATACAGCGAGACTATAGGTGGTTTTAATTTTTATTCTTGATATTGTGCTGTATTTTCCTGTTCTACAATGAGCATGTTTTACTTTTATAAACAAGACCCCCAAAATTGCATTTGTTAAAGCATACTAACTTGGGAGTCTGATATATATCAAGCTCCAAGGGCTGCCATATATTAGCTGGGCAACATGAAGCAAATTAAGGAACTGCTGGGTCCCCGAGTTCTCACCTATAAAACTGGCATAATGCCAATCTAATTTTCAAGCCATTATTTACTGGGCATTTACTATGTGCTGGACACTATGCCAAGTGGTTTTCCCTCCTTTTATTTTTTATTTTATTTATTTATTTATTTTTTTTGAGACGGAGTCTCACTCTGTCACCCAGGCTGGAGTGCAGTGGTGCGATCTCAGTTCACTGCAAGCTCCGCCTCCCGGGTTCACTGGAGTAGCTCGGACTACAGGCGCCGGCTACCGCGCCCAGCTAATTTTTTGTATTTTCAGTAGAGACAGGGTTTCACTGTGGTCTCGATCTCCTGACCTCGTGATCCACCCGCCTCAGCTTCCCAAAGTGCTGGGATTGCAGGCGTGAGCCACCGCGCCCGGCCTTTCACTCCTTATATTTTTATACATATTATGCATACTTACACTTCATACATGATCATTTCGATCCTCAAAATAAGGCATGAAGTAGATTGTGATATTCCTATTTTAGAGATAAACTAACTGCAGCTCAGAAAAGTTAGGTAATATGCTCAGATTCACCCAACTAGTAGGTGGCAGATAGAGTTAGGATTCAGACATAGGTCTGACCATCTTTGGAAACCTAGCTCCAGGCCTCCAGCCTGGACCGCTCACAGGAACAGTTTTGCTGTGAGGATGGAATGAGGTCATACAGATGGCATGCCAAGCACAGGACCTGGCTCCAAGCACAGAGCCGCTCCGTCGAACGTTACTTCCCTTTTCTCTGACACCTGAATGTTGGTAAATTGTGGCAAAACAAACCAGTGCACTCTCTGGAGAAAAAAAAAAGTGCCCCTGCCCTGAAAGAGGGAGTTGTAGAGCCTGTAGGGAAAGAACAGAAAGGGGCTGGAAGGCTAACTCACTCAGGTAGACATGGGGGCGGCGCTGGGACTGTGCATCCCACATGTTCTGGGGCACTTCTGTCAGAGATTTCTTCAGGACTTTATTGGACCCTACACTTAATTTGCAGCTCAGAAGACAGTATAGCGTCCAACAAGGCATCACATTCCAACTTCCACTTATCCCTGTCACCTCTTCTCCCTAAGAAACAAGGCGTGGGTGTTCCAGGACCATACATTGGTTTTTCTTTTCTTGTTTTCCCTTTCTTCTGGAGAAAAGGGGAATTTTAGGGGTGGAGTGGGACAAGGCACTGTGTGGAGAAGGAAAGGCTGAATATCTAGGGGTGAGCAACGTAGCTTGGCCTGCCCCAGAACTCCCTTCTGGATTCATCTTAAATGCCTCTTTCTCTAGGGCACCAGCCTCAGGTGAATTCCATCTCTATTCCCTATTCCTACCCCACAAACTTGTGGCACTAACTACACTAGAATTTCTTGTTGGTTGTCTGTCTTCACTACTAGATAGTAAACTTCATGAGGGCAGGCCCCACAGTGTTCACCACTGTGTCTCTAGCACTTGGCTATGTGGGTGGTACTCAGTAAACTATGTAGATACTTGATAAATAGAGGAATGAGTGAATGAATAAATGAATAAACTCTCCATCAACAGTCATGCCCCAAGTGGACCCACAGCTGACCTGTTCTATGCTAAGCACTTAGAAGATGTGGTCCCTTTCCTGGAGGCTTAAATTTTACATTTCTCCAACCTCATAAATTGTGGAAAGACATGATGCAAGGGAAATTCCTATTTATTCTAAACCTCATGCTGTTTATTTTACCAAAGTACTCAAAATGGAAGCCCTGAGTCTAAGGGAGGGTCCCCAAGTTCATGGAATCCTGGCAGGAATTACAGTGCTTAAATGGTCTGAAGTCTAGTGTTCTACTCCTAGCTCTGCCAGTTCTGTTGTATGACCTCTGGTGAATGACTTCCCCTCTGGGCCTTAGTTCTCTTCTCTGTAAAATGGTGATGCAGTGGAGGAGGAGTGGTGGACCAAGCTGTGTATGAAAATAGGGGCAATTGAGTGCATTTGACTATGTACTGTTGCATGTAATTGGACACAGTATCCTCCTTCCTAAAGGCTTAGAGGCAGGGAAAGAACTAGATGCAGAGTCTAAGTAAACTAAGGGGAGAGGGAAGACAATGTGTGCCTACTTCTGTCTGTAAACGGCAAGGTCAGGATGTGCTGGCCCTCTGGTGAGAGGACAGGACAGAGGGGTGGTGGGCTGGAGGGGGCCTTGCCACAATAAGGGACCTCCCAAACATGTCTATGTGTCTTTGCCTCAAGGTTTGCAAAAGAAAAGATTCTAAAGCCCTGGGATCTTCATGCCATCACCAAGCATGATGCCCTCCTTCCCATTCAAAAGCAATAAACCCTCTTCCCCTTCAGAGAGACAACCCAGGGAGAAATTGGTGGTAGGGATGGAGGATGGGGAGGCCTGGAGAAGCATCGATGGGGCCCGCGTTCCTAGCAAGGTCCCATTTCAGGCTTCTTCAGAAAGTGCAAGAGCGTGAGCCTCCTGGTCCCCCTCCAGTGGTTTCTTCCGGAAGATAGTGGACTCAGTGGACACCTGCATCCATGCCCCAAAGCTTTCTGGCTTCAGTCCAAGCAGCTGACAGGTTCATCTTTCTCCCTAGGGCCCCACAAACACCACTTCCGGCCCTCCTGCCTCTATTTGGGCTCTTCCTGCCTGGATCTCTATACCCACGCCTGCCCTTCCCTCTGCAGAGCTTTCTCCCTCCCTTCACGAGCCTTATTTCTCTCTCTCAGTCTCCATATCTATTTCTTCCCCTCTTCTTCCCTCCTCCCCTGCTTCTCTCCTCCTTGTCATCCCTCCACAGCCCCAGAATGGGTCTCCCCGCCTTCCTCCCTCTCAGGCTGCATCTCCCCCCTCCTTAGTGCTCACCCCTGCACCTCTTTCTTTGTATTCTTCTCACCCTCTCTCAGCCTCGCCAGCATCTCTCCTCCCCCGCCCGGCTTCAGCCTCCCCCTGCCTCCCCATCTTCAACTCAGTCTCCTCCCCCTCGCTCCTCTTCCCTCCCCTCCGCCTCGCCCCACTCTCAGCCCGCATGCCAGGATTTCTCTCCTCCCTGGGGGTCTCAGTGCATCTCCTTCTCCTCTCTGCCTGCCTCCTCCCTCACCGAAGGGTTAGCGGACACCCATCCTTTTCTGCTTGGGGACCCCACCACCACCCGCATCACTGCCTCTATCTCTTCTTCACCGTATCCTCCTCTACCCACCCTCTTCTCTTTTCTTTTCTCCCTGCCCCTTTAAATCTGCCTGGCCCAGCCTCCCCCGTGATGCTGGGATGGAGCAAACATTGATTTGTGCTGGGATGGAATCGGAATTTTGATTTATTTTTCCTCTCCCAACCATAAGAAGAAAAAAATAATAAAAACACCCCCTCTTGATAGCCCCCTCCCCCTTTGCATCCAGCTCCCAGCTCTTCTTCCCTATCTCCATCCAAGGCAGATTTTTTCCCCTACACTATTCTCATCTTCCCCCACCCCTGCCACTACCTCGCCCCCCCACCCAGCCTGCTCCTCCAGCGGGGAGAGAGGGGACTCTCCGGACTCCCCCACCTTTCCTCTCTGGGTTGGAGCAGTCTCTCCGGAAGGGGAGGGGGCTTGGCTTGTCCGGGCGAGGTGGGAGTGGAGGTATCCTGCCATGGATGCTGTGCCGGGGAGGCAGCCTGAGCCCCAGCCCACATGGTGAGTAGCCTGCCCCCTCCCTTCTGCCTCTCTGCCCGTCCCCACCCTGGCCTTTCCCCTGCAGAGCCTCCCCTGGGCCCCATCCATTGCCCCCGAAAAACCGTCTGCCCACCTTGGTCCGATCTCCCCGCTACATATTCTACCCCCACCCCCATCCCTTTGCCAGAGACGCCGAAGAACCGGGACAGAGGGGTCCTGACAGCAGCCAGGGAAACGGGTGCCCTACGATTCTGCCCAGCCCCCTCTCAGGACCCCCAAACTGCCATCCACACTCGACACTTCGGGGTTCTAGGTTGGAGAATTGGGACTCCCGCTTGGGGTTGGGGCCCCAAGTCCTGGGAGGGGCCTGCTCCACAAAAACAGAAATGGGGGAAGCCCCCATGCCCCCCCCAAGCTTGGGAGCTGCTGGAAAATGCTGCCGAAGGAGGGGGTTGGATTGGGGGGCGGTGCTGATGCCCCGAGCCACCGGGCCAGGGAGCGGCGGGCAAAGAGGAGGGGCCTCTCTCGCCACTTGCCCCCCTCCCTCTTTCTCCGCAGCCACTCAGGATGAGGGTCCGGCCCTGCCTGCCCTCGCTGGGGCCCCCCCGCCCGGCCCCGGTCTAACTGCCCCCGCCCCCAGACCTCGCCCGGCTCCAAGGCCCCCAGCCGGCTCTCCAGCCCCAGGATGCGCTGAGCCGCCGGGGGGCTGAGGCCGCGCCAACTACATGCATGTCCCCCGGGGGCAAGTTCGACTTTGACGACGGGGGCTGCTACGTGGGGGGCTGGGAGGCGGGGCGGGCACATGGCTACGGCGTGTGCACGGGCCCCGGCGCCCAGGGCGAGTACAGCGGCTGCTGGGCACACGGCTTCGAGTCACTGGGCGTCTACACGGGGCCCGGTGGACACAGCTACCAGGGCCACTGGCAGCAGGGCAAGCGCGAAGGGCTGGGCGTGGAGCGCAAGAGCCGCTGGACGTACCGCGGCGAGTGGCTGGGCGGGCTGAAGGGGCGCAGCGGCGTGTGGGAAAGCGTGTCCGGCCTGCGCTACGCCGGGCTCTGGAAGGACGGTTTCCAGGACGGCTACGGCACCGAGACCTACTCCGACGGAGGTGCGGGACCCGGCCCACTAGTGTCTGTCTGCTCGTCCGCGTGCGCCTTCCCTAGCCTTGCGCCTTCGCCCTCCATTTGCGCCCCTGCGCCCATCCATCTGTCCCCCGCCCCACATCGATGTGACCTCCAGCCCCAATTTCTGCTTTCTCCCACGATGATTATGCTTTCCTTAATTGTCTGTCTCCTGCTCGCTTCTCCCTCACCCCTTCCCTGTCTGCCTGTCCTCACACCTCCCTCTCTACCTGCCTGTCCCCAACACCTCTGCTCTCTGCGTGCCACTCAGAGTCCTGTTTGCCTATCTAAACGCCCCCACCGGCCTGTCCTTCGCACCCCTGCCGGGCCCTCCCCGTTCCCCTGTCTACCCGCACTGCCAAAATCTACGTAGGGCTCCTGCTACCTGCCCGTCTTCATTCTGCTCTTTCACACTTTCCCGCCCAGCCTGGCCTGTCCCCGGCTCCCAGTGCCCTTCCCCGACCTCCACACTAACCGCCTCCACCTCTCCCGCCTGACGCTTGGGCTTCCAGGGGG